GGTCAGATGCAAAACGCGAAGAAGTCTACACTACAGCCCAAGCTAGAGGAGAAATAGAAAACAGGCCTATGAATTCGGTTAGATGCAAATTGCCAAGAGCTCAGCCTGTGGACCGTAGAAAATCGAAGATGCTAAATCCCTTGTTTATTTGTGCTAAATGCTGTGTGCAAACAAACCAGCGTATTGATGTCAACAGGTGAGGACGAGAGATGGGCAACAGAGCGCGCAATCAGTGAGGGGGCAGCGAACGGAGTTATCCAGGATTAAGAATTCTGAGAAGCCGATGCAATACTAATAGCCTAGTAATAGGAAAGTTCTGGGCCTACCATGTTTGTGAGAGGAAAAAGGGGTGAATCAAGCCATAGAAAGGGACTGAATACAGACCGTTGAAAACGAGAAGTGCAGCCAAGGTTAGGTTCGAAGTCAGAGAGAGTGACACAGATGGCTTAAAGAAGGGAAGATAATTCCACGTTCCAAGGATCAATGAAACGGCTCAGATAAGGAGGCGCCGGTATACCTAAAGCAAGGAAGGGTAGATAAAGTGAACGTCTCTACGTGTCATCGTTTACTCCTTTCGAGACTAATGCTCTGCTCCCTTTGCACTACTGGAAATGCTCCCACAGCCACCAGTGAAACTCCCACTTCCCAAAGGTGACGTCGTCCTGTAGAGCTTCAGGTCTTCTCACACTTCGACGCTCCCGGTTGAGGTAGTCGCTAGTACTTGGCTTGGGCTCCTCACAACAACAGTCCCACCACTGCCAGTTGCCCCCCCACTGCTCCCGGAAGTGCCGCTGTCTGACTCATCATTCGCCGTGCACTGGACTCACTCTCCCTTCTTCGTGCCGTTGGTCATGTATATTTCCCAAAAATTGGGTTCATACAGAGGTTGCAATAGCTTGAAATTTTGAGGGTTGAAGGTTGTAGAGACATCCGAAACCACCCTGCCCCCTGGTATTCCACAGGGAGACACAGCCTCTTGTCGAGGCTGAGGGAGATGGCCGGACCTCCCGAGTACTCCATAGCTCCGTCCCCACACCCCGTAACCCGCGCCTTGCTGCCAATGCAGAGTGCCACGGTTTCCGGACGGCGATATAATTGGTAACGCAGCGCTTCCACGCTCCCGGCCCCGTCCGCTCATTTTATCCACAGGAAAAGACATGAAAAAGAAAAGAAAAAACGTCTACGATACCACGTAGCAGCTAGGTACCCTGGTATTACATCTAGAAGAGGACTGGATACAAGTTTTGATTATTATTATATAGTATATGACTGAATTTATATCACTTTTTCTTCTTTTTCCTTTTGGGGGGGGGAGAATTTCTTCGAGTTCCGAACCGGTCTTGGATTGAATAACATAAGAAAATAATTGTGTTTCTTTTTTTTTTTCTTTTTCTTTTTTGGGGGGGCGGGGGGTTCTTAAGTATAAACAACAAAAAGAATGGGTCTTGATTATTAAAAAAAAAAAAAATCGGTTTTGATTAGATTTGTCAGGCGCCTTCAAGAGGCTGCTCCCGTCCCTCCTGGAACTCTTGCGCAGTTAATCCCCTGGGGCGAGGTCCCCTTAGCAAAGAGAATTGGATTCAGCTCCTGAATCTGGACGTGTTTTAAGCAGAGGTGCAGAAAAACAGTTCTATCTCGAATTTCTGCATCTCTGCACCTTTCCACGAACACGTCTAGATTCAGGCGTTCAATCCAATCCTTGTTGCTAGAGGGACCTCGCCCCTGGGCTTCCAGGGCAATCAATGCTGGCAGGCAGCAAGTTGTTGATACATGGCTTTTTTTCCTATGACCGGGTAATGGTCCGGGTCCTTTTTTACCTATTCAATATTTTTTTCAACAGGGACGCTGAGCCCGGTTCCCAGCACGTGCTGCTCACCACGAATAGACTGGAGCATTGTCGTTGGAAAAAAAAAAAAAAAAAAAAAAAAAAAGAGAGCACGTTTCAGCGTTAATTTTCTGAGAAGATTGATCTAATACTCTAAAGCCAAAGCTGGGCAATGACCCCGGCTATTTCCATTTTGCTAATCAAAGCCTGGGGTACTGGGCGCGTTTCTTTGTCCAAAAATTATTAAAAAGAAAAAAAAAAAAATCGGTCTTGATCACGTCGTGGGCACTGGTCTGTTTCTTTGTCAAAAAAATATTAAAAAATCAAAATAAAAAATCGGTCTAGATCACATGGATGGGCTAAAAGTGACCGGCCTCGAAAAGTCCACTTCACGATCCAGCCACAAAGCTTTCTTTATTCTCTTTCGTCTTATTTCTTTTTTTTTTTTTTTTTTTCTCTTTTACTTTTTCTTTCTTTTCGTTCTTTCTTCTTCTTTTTCTTTCTTTCTTTTTCTTTCACGCCNTTGGCTTTCTGTATGAAGCAAGTTCTGAAGTCCCTCCCGTGCTCTATTACTCTCTCTCTCTCTCTCTCTCTCTCTCACACACACACACACACACACAGTTCCTGATAGGCTTTCTGTTTGAAGCAAGTCCTCTCTCTCTCTCTCTCTCTCTCTCTCTCTCTCTTTTCCTGATAGGCTTTCTGTTTGAAGCAAGTCCCTGTCTCTTATACACATCTAGATGTGTATAAGAGACAGCTTCACGACCCAGCCAAAACTCTTTCTCCCTCTTTTTTTCTCTTTTTTTCTTTTTTCTCTTTTCTTCCTCGTTTCTTTTCTTTCTTTTCGTTCTTCCTTTCTTTCTTTCTTTTTCTTTTTTTCTTTCTTTCTTTCTTTCTCAGCCAGCCACAGATCGTGAAAAAAAAAAATAATAATAATAATTAAAAATATATATAATAATAATAAAAATTAAAAATCTTACTATCGCCAGGCCAGCAGATCCTTTCTTCGTCGGCTGCGATGATGAGGTGGTCGACTGGTAACTGATCCTTGCCTCCTTGACGCTTCTCCTTCGATGCAGCCGTGTCAGCGAACCCTCCGTCTGATTATCAGTCACTCAGATCGACGGTGATGCTACCCATGATGACAACACGGACTGACGATTGATGAGTACATTGATTATTTATTGATTACTAGGTTGATGATTAGTGAGTCCAATGCCGATGATTGATGATGATTGATGATAAATGATGATTTGAAATGATGGCTTGATGATAGATGGTTGATTAATCATGGATTGGTAATGGATTGATTACTTTTTTATGATTGACGAGTCCAATGCCAATGAGTGGTTGATGATTAATCGGTCCCTACCCGCAAGGATGACGCGCACAAATCGACGACCCCAGGGGGAGGGCAAAAAAATAAAAAAAAATAAAGGTGACGATGGCGTATGTGGCCCAAAGCTCACTCAGGCAGGGCGTACTCACATTAAGCTCTATTGAAATGTATCTGATCGCATTTACGGCCACACCTGGATGCATCTGACCACAATTACGTCCATAAATAAGTAAAAAAGCCCTACCGTCTTCCCCCGAACACAACGCACCCACATTTTTACTGTATCGGGCCGGAAACATATGTTCTATACGTTCAGTTTCAGGGTGCGTTATGTTCGGGGGAAGACGGTAGTGTGAGTATGCCCTCAGACACGAATGGACACTCGCGGAACGATTGTATTTCGGCTTCGAAAGAACAAAAAGAAAGGAGGGAAAAAAAAGAAAAA